GGAACGCGAATCCGACGTGTGAGAAGCTGGACCAGCCCCCCGGCGCCGTGCCGGGCTGCGAGCCACAGGGCCACAGCGCCAGGTGCCACCTCAGGGCGGGTCCCCTGGTGAAGAAACTGGACCTGATCAGTGACCGCCAGCCTGCGGGTCAGGAGAAGGCAGCAGCTGACAGCCGAGGTAAGAGGGGCCCTTCACCTAACCCCAGAAGTGTGTGGCGGAAAGAAACGGGCTCAGCTGGCAAAGATAATTCCCAGAGAGGCCCAAGTGTCAGCCCTGCCCAGTACCGGAGGGACAAGTGCCAGAGCTTCCCCTTGGACCCTGAGTTTGCCTTTTATGATAATACTACTTTTGGCTTAACGGAGGCAGAGCAGCAGATGATTGACCTCCCTGGGTATTTTGGCTCAAATGAGGAGGATGAAGCAAGTACTTTAAGCATTGAGAAGCTGGTGATCTGAGTGACTCGTTGCAGCCCTGCAAGAGGAGTGTGCGCGGGAGAGGATCTGTTGGCTTTTGGTGGAAGGAGCAGTGGGAATTGCATTCCCTTCACACAGAGCAGGAAGGAATAATGCCCCGAGTCTGGCTAGTGGGAACACATTCCTTTCCAATTACTGGAAAGTGCTTCCATATAATTCTTTTTTGTATGTATGTGTGTAAAATGCACACAAAATACCCTGGGAAAGGATTTGTTAATGGAGGCATGACACAGGAATAGTCAATAGATTTTATTGCATAAAGCAGTCAAATTTTGTGCATTGTGCATAATGAATGCCACTAATCTACCCTTTCTCACTTTGTTGGCTGTGTACTAGTAGATTATGATGTCCTAAAGCATATGTTGTCCACTATCCTCAACCATCTGTCCTAATTAGTGAATCTTTTCCTGTTTAGATAACACAAACCTCAAGTTGTGAGCAGTTCTCACTGGATTTTTGTAAGTTGTTATTGAACTGTGTTCATTCATTGTAATTGCTCGAGTAAGTCATATGATGGTGTTTCTTTTAGCTGGTTGCATGAAAGTGCAAATGGTTGATGCTGAATACTTGGAGTGAATTTAAAATGGAGGGGACATTTTTCATCATTCAAGATTTCTGTATTTTCTCTCTGTCAATATTTATACCAAGAAAACATCAATGTACAAATATTTGAAGAAAACTAGTAGAAAAGGGCATGCTACTGGGAGGGCAAAGAAGGTGGGTGATCATATTTTAGCCCTCACAGAAATGTTGCTGCAGCATTTAAGCGTCTTTAAAAGGCAGTGAGAGAACTGTTAAGTCGCCCATCTTCTCCATAATCATCTTTGCCTGTATTCACATTTTTTTAAAGTGTAAGTGAATTGACAACAATACTACTACAGCAAGCTCAAAATAAACTATGAACAGAACCAGCAAACAACAAATTTATTTGATGAATACCTGTTTTGGAAAAAAAAAGAAAAAATAAAATGGCCTGACAACATCTGGTCATTCCCAGAGAATGGTGTGGTGAAGTACAAAGTGTGGTGTTTCAGGTTTGTTGTACTTTAAAGCCAGAGATCAAAAATTGGCTATTGCACACTGCTGGAAATGTTCAGAGCTGGGTTGAAACCCCAGTTGACAAGAGAGAGAGCTTGAGCCAATAAGAATTACTCAAGAGACTTTGCTTGGCACTTGTTAGGATAACCATGTCTTCAGAGAGTTTGCAAAGACCAGGGAAGTGCAGTTGGGCAACAACCAGGAAAGAGGAGATGCTGCCTGTGAAGCATGGATTGAGAGAAGGTAGGTTCAAGCAGAGCCTGTCAGCCTTAAAACAGCTCTCCCGTGAGGAGCCTAACCCTGCTTACCGTTTAGCCAGCCTTGTGAGTGTGAAGGAAAAATTAGCATGTGGGCAGCTCTCTGGCAGTTGGCTGCTGTCTTTTCTCAGATGGCTTTCTGAGTGCTCAGATTTCCCTATCCCACTACATTTTTTTTTTCCCCCCAAGGAAACTATGATTGTGAAGGGAGAGCAGCCTCGCTGTGCATTCCCCAGTTACCGCTGGCACCCCACGGAAGTGTCCCAGGTGTGCACAGGAAACTTGGCAGGAGCCAGGCACTCAGCGTTTGGCTGCCAGAGTCAAACCCTGCTGGCTGAACGGCCTTTCTGGTGGGTCATGTTTTGCAGCTGCTGCTGGAGCACCGGGTGAGCTCCCTCTCTGCCAGGAGCTGTGCCAGCACGCCGGGTTGTTGAGGTGCAGCCCTCTGGCCCAGCGCAGCCTTCATACCAGCTATGCATTCCCCTAAGCTGTCAGCTTGAAATGCTGTTTGAAGCATTTGAGAACATGTCCACGCTTGAGGACCGATCCAAGGCTAATCAAATGTAATGAGTCCTTGAATTGACTTAAATGAGCTGGAAACCAGGCCTCTGAAGCAATTGCTGCTCAGGTTACTTACCACCCCCGTTCTAAGGTAAACTCTGCTTTGTGAAGCATGTTGGCCCTGAAGCAGTGATCTGTCAGCGTTAGACCTGCAGTGCTACAGTATCTGTTTACAGCTTTGGTGAGCCTCCCAGTGTGGGAAGCTCTGGAGATCAAACGTACAGCACAGCAGCATCCAGCAAGCATTTCCTTAACCTTCAGTGGGAGTGATTTGAGCTTGGCAGTAGCCCTCAGATCAAATAAGTACTTGGCTAGTGGCATTTTACCCTGATTATTAAGATAAAGGTAGCTCTGAAACACTTTCTAGGGTTTACTGTGGGAGCTGCATAAAGCCCTGTGACCCCTGCATCTCCACGGGGGTTTTCTGTGCCGCAGGAGGGCTGAGGAGGGGAAGCCTTGCTCTAAGCTGGATGATGCTTCCTGCAGCCTTGTCTTGGTGATGGGCTGTGTTCAGAACAGCTACTGCAATGCATTAGATGAGCTTGGGTACATCTTATATCTAAGACAGCAAGCAGACCCTTTCCCTCCCAGCTCATCAGGTCTTGGCCCCTTTTTCTCTCTTAGAGAGAGAAAAAAAACCCCATAACATATTGATACTGGCTTTTTATATTGCTCACTGCTCACTCACTGGGAACTGGACTGAGTAGCATTGTCTGACTAAGCCCTGTTGACTTTATCTCCATCTGGATAGTCCATTATCAGATGGGTGATCAGCTGCTCGATGAACTGTCAGACCAGTAATGCTGGCCCTTTGGTGCTGTAGTTGATTTTCAGCATGCAGAGTTGAGCATCACTAGTCTGTAGTGTCTACCCTGCTTCCCAGACCTTCTACTGAAGAATGGGATTGAGCATCATCTGCCAGAAGTCATTAACTTCTTTCACTCGCTTTTCTCTGTCCTTACTGCCCTCAGCATTGCGTCAGTGGCCACAGCATTTCCATATGTTCTCAACATGTAGTTAAAACCTTGGACTAAGATTTTACCATAGTAAAACACAGAAGTCATGATCAGAAAGGGAATAGGACGTTGCTGGTTGTTCACAACCTTTTCTTCACAAGGGCAACCTCATTTCAGAAATGTAGGTGCAATTTTCGTTCCACATTGGTACGTGCCAACAGTGGGGAAGAGGGCAGCAGTGCAATCTGGCCAGGGCACAGGCTATAGCAGCGTGGCTTCCTGGAGTGCTGGCCTGTTGTGCTCTGGTGTTCAGATTTGCAATCACTGGGATAGCTAGGAAGGAGTGAGAACAGGGTTTACCTCTTGACAAAACAGCAGAGCCAAACCAGATTTTACACTGAACTTTAACATGTCTCTACATTGACTCCAGGACACCTTGAGCCATGGAAACTAAACATACCTTGCAGACCCTCTCAGCTATCCAGGACAGCAGGTGCAAAAGCACCAGAGACAACACCAAAAGAATGAAATTCTCTTATGACCTTTCTCAAGATTTTCATTCAAATATCTTCAAGTTTGTACTGTTGAAAATGAAATACAAAGTGTTAAGTCCTACTCAGATGGTTTTATTTCATGCTTTGTGGATATACAAATTACAGTATGTATGGCTCTAAAAGCAAATAAATGGAGAAGAACTACCAGTTAAAAAAGATACTATTGTTCATTCTACAGCATGATAGTAGTAAAATGATTTGCATCAAGCTCATACTACTGTTCATTTTTAACTGTTGTTATTAACAATTTGTGGAAAATAAATTTTCAGTATTCCATTTCTTTGAGTCGTTTGTGTTGCTCTTGCATTTCACTCTGATGAGACAATGAAAGCAGTGAGCTCTGCGGTTCAGTCACTTCCCACTTTCTGATTCCCATCGTCTAACCCAAAATCATCTGGTAAGTTAACGTGAGCGTGTACAAATGAATCGTTTTATGAATTCCCAAGAATAATTGTGCTCATCTTCAATTTAGTAAAATGTGCCTAATTTTAATCTGAGGCTTGACTCTGGCAAGCAGCATTGTCTTTGTCTGCATTACTGAGTTGCAGTGTGCTACAGAAGTGGATCTGCAATGGGAAGCTCTTAGCAGCAAATCCCGGTGTCCACACTGTCCATTTTGTGGGGATCTTTGAAGTAGCCTTAGTCTGGATGCACATTAGCAGCTGGAGCATGTCCATCCATTGGTTTGGTTTCACACTCTACAGGAGCATTCTCCAACTGAGAGTTGCTTAAAAACATTCTCCTGATCCAGAAGAAAGCACAAAGGCACACCAGATGAAGCCAAATTCCCCATCACCTTGTTTCTATTTTTATCTTCTCATAACTGATGGTTAAAATTAGTATGAGAAAGATTTAGCCCTTGAAGAGATAGTTAAAAGGACATTCTTGATCATTCAATGACCAGAGAGCTTTAAATAAACACCCTCCAATGAAGTCCTGAAAATTGCTGAAAATGAAAACTATTGTTATTCCATAACTGAGATCCATATATTTTCCATTAAATTGTTGGCTGGCTGTGCTCAGACAACTTGCAGTGTTAGGTTCAGCTGCTAGAAACAGATGCAACTCCAGTTACCAGGCCTGGGGCAGCAGAGGGCTGGCTACTAGCATAAGCAATTTTTGTTTCAGCTTGTACTTTTTTTCTTTCCAAAGCAGCAGGTTTCAGATGCCCTGACTGTTCTCACCACCTCCACTCTCACCATCAACAAAGAATGGAGCCCTGATTTTCATGGATGAGTATTTTAGTGAGTACCACACCCCATGCCACGTAGACCAAACCATGCCATTGTCATGGGTTCCATGGTACCTTCCTGATCTGTAGTATCTTCCATTGAGGTTTACAGCATGGCACCTGGGAACGATGTGGGAGAGGGAGAAAAGGAGATTAGGTTTAGTGTGGGAAGACATTGCTTCATTACAGTGAAGTACAATTTTCACACAACATACATTTAGAAACACCAGGGCGGGATTCAGTGACAGGTTCATACACTTAGATAATTAATTTGTCTGTACTGAACTAGTTTTCTGAAGTCCTACAGTAGCCTATGGAGATCTGATTTATGCCTTTAGTGGAACCCAGAGAAGTGTGTGGATCATCCTGAGGAAGACACCTGTGCTGGCCAGATAATTCAATCTGTTGACTCCTTTGAGTGTATTAGCTGGGGATGTGATTCATTTGCCTAAAAAGGAGGGGTGTAGTGCTGTATGGAAGGCTCTAGCTCAAGTGCAGGCAGCTACATACTGACACCTAAAAATGCAGATGTCTTTTAATTAAGGTAAATCCCACTATTGATATACTTTTTTGTAACTCCAGATTTCACACTATGATAAGGGCCTGGTCAAAGAAAAGACTCATCCTCAACTAAAGTAGAGAAAGACTGGAAGCAGCATGTCCTTGTTCCTGTGGCTCGTGAACCCGAGTCCCTCTGTGCTGATGTGTGGGCTATGGCCAACTAGCAAGCCTACCACCAGAACTGTTCAGGGGGAGCTCAATCCCTAGATGTGCTCCACAAGAGGGATATGTCCTTTGTACACACTGTGCCTTGCGGTGACTACAATTGTTTTATTTCCTGGGACATAACTCAAAGCACTTCAAGGAATTTTAAATGGGCTCTTTTCCTTCCAGGTCATTCCCCTTTAGGCATTATTCTGATCCATTTTCTTAAAATGAGTGCAACTTACCCGCTGTGCTTCGTAATGGAAGAAGTAGACTGCTTTCCTCTGAGGATATGTAGGTGTGGATATCTTAGATTTGACCGGGCGAGGTGGCATGCACATGCAGCAACCTCCAGCTGGTGTAAGACAGGCAGGTCCTCTCAGCTCTACAGCCACCCACACCCTATGCATCCTAGAGGAATCAACTGTTTTCCATACCTGTTAAACCACCAGCCACCCTTGTTTTCTAGAGCACAGTTGCCTGTCAGGAATCGATCGTGATCCTTGTCAGATGTGGTGAACTGCATCCCTCTGTGAGAGGCTGACCACTGATCTTCAAAATTGCTCCCACCAGACAGAGCGTCGCCAGCATTACCAGAATAAGTGCCAAACCATAACCTGTAATTGTCCTGCAAGAAGATGTGAAACCAGTCTTTGACATCAGCTCTTTCTGCCCTTCCACCCATTTTTTCAGATCAACTTTGCTCTAGCCATTATATCCATTGTCAAAGGCATGACTGTTGAAGTCAAGGATGATTTTTGGCCCCATTCATTAATGATCCTAGTGTAGATGACTACGGGATTTAACCTTTGAAAAGGAACTGCTCTTTATTGCTGCTGCCATAAAGGATTTCAGGCTTCATTCTCTTTAAATAACCATTTGGTACACTATATAACAAGCTTCAAGGCTCTTACTAGCTCATCAAGAACAACTTGGCAGGAAACTTGCTCTCAGACACATGGTGTGATTCTAGGAGTGCCCTGCACAGGGAGAGGAGCTGGACTCGGTGATCCTCATGGGTGCCTTCCAACTCAGCATATTCTATGATTCTATGAATCTTTGCCAAGTAGCTGCCTTCATAAACTGATCAGTTTTTCGGCAGGAATAACTTCTTAAAAATTTTGCTCCTCCAAAACCTGATTTCTAGCTAAATGGTTCTGTCCTGGTAGGGATACTTAGAATAATAGTTTTGTTGTGAACAGGTAACAGATCTAAGAGACGTTTGATATGAGATGGATGATTACTTTTTTGGTATGGTTTTTTTTCCTGTCATCACATTACACTTTCATGTTTATGAAAAATAGCAGTAAAGTATTAAAATGAAGCTGTTCAAAATTTCACAAGAAGGCTTGAATTGCAAACTGTGTACATTTTGGAGTCATGATGGAGTTGGAACTAGGACTGCTTCATGCAATGGAACTCATGTCCTCAGGTATTGGGGCGGCTTTTGTGTGGTGTTCAGAAAGACAAGCCTGCAAAACCAGCACCTGCACTGAACAGAACCCCGTCTAAAGCTGAAAAGCAAACATGAAAATACAGGGATGTGTGTCTGCCTTTGGGCTTTCTGTGGCTGTAAGTGTAGTGCTACAGGTACCTGACTTCCAGGAACTTAAAACTGCTCTTTCAAAGCTTTGATTAGAGCTCACTGTTTTCTTTTAAAACAAACTAGAAAGAGCTTGTTCTGGTGATTGCCTTTTATGTGACAGCCTGAAACACTCTCCTAGGAAGCAGGAGAACAGGATTCAGTTTCCTTGCAGAGGTTCATACCCTTAACTCCTCCATCATGGAAGACTCATTCAACCATGAGGACAGAGACAAACGCGTGTGGGAATCCTTGTGGCCTGTGGCATGGAGCTGCCCTCTGTGCACCAGCAGTTAGCAGGAGAGAACACACACATGATCCTGTCACTCGGTGGCTTAGACATTCAGCAGTTGTGAGGAAGAAGACTCAGGCTCATGTCCCTGCTCCCAGGGCTCTTTGTCAGTCAGCTAAACCAGGAATCCTGGGGAGCCAGACCACGGAAGTTTTGCAGAGCTGTAATTACACCTATGATGCTGAAGTCTGATGCTGCACATGCAGGTTTCCGACTCTCACAGATAAAATGAGGAAATCACCACTGTCTCTGTTTCTTACCTTCTCATTTGCAAGTTGGAAATTTTCATAGACAGCATAACGTCTTTCCCCATGCCAGTCCATCAGGTCAATCTTTAACGAGCTCTCTCCTAAACACAAAGCAGTGTCATGTTAAATGAACTGTCTCATATGAATTAGAAAGAAATCTGTGGAGAAAAAATACTTGCACCTCTAGCAAGCAGATCATAGATGTGGTCATTGCCCAGCCAGTATTCATCATTCTTGCCCTGGAATTTCCCAAATCCCAGCTTGTAATCATCCCATTTCCTGCAATGAGATACAAATATCAATTTCAGTATGTGAGGGAATGAGACAGTCTGTGAGACTTGGCTAGCATAACAAGTAAAACCTCAGCTGTACCTCTAGACATTGTTTTCTAAAAGCATCTGATTCATTGCAAGCTGAGCTGGGATTTGTCACTCTGCCTTAGAAGTAAATACACAGCTTACTCCTTCCCCTGCTAAACCTGTGCACACACATATACTGGGATCAAACCTTCAAACTGCCAGGTGCAATGCTCACAGAATGAGGTTGTCATTTAGATGAGAGAGGAAAGCAGCAGCAGAAAGTATCTGATACTGTTTTTTAGCAAGTCATAATTCAAATGTTCTCCTGGCTGGAAATTGATGTTGCAATCTAAAATATGCTACAATCTTGGATGTACGATGTGATACAGGGAAGAATCCAAAACTGAAGAGAAACTGGAAACAAGTTTCCAGATGAAGTTAAAAGGAAAATAACTGGGTCTGCTTTGTGCTCCTTTTCCACTTAAATTTATTTTAGATTCATTGACCACTCTCACCTCTGCATTTTTGCAGGATCACTGTTTGGATGTGGCAAATTGTTCTTTGAAGACATATTTTTCATCAGCATTCTCTGGTTTCATAATTGTAAGACAAATCTCCTGCTGTTAATCTCTTCCTATAATTTCATTCTCTCAAAACCTCATCTGTTGTTTAGATATTATCTTTGATATTCACATATACTTCCTGTGTGTCGACATTTCCAGTTTTGCTAACCCAATTTTTATTTCCTTTCTCATGTTGTTATTAGGGATATTAATTCTCCTGACTACATACTAGTGCTCCTCTTCAGGATGTTTTTCATTCAGCTGTGCTGAGAGCTGAACTAGCATGGCCAAATGGCTACCACTCTCTGGGCAAGCCAGCTTAGAGCCAGTTGAAGTAGCTTTGCAAGGAACTGCACTTGCTGTAAGTGACATCAAACATGCCCTGAAATTGTTTGGGCTGTGATTGTGAATTAATCTGCATGGGGCAGTTTCTTCTTCACTGTGTTACCAGAGCATGTCGCCTCCTGGAGATTTCCAGGTGAAAGTCACCTTGCAGGGTTTTTGAACAGAGAAAGGACAATCTGGACCGGTGGTTTGGCATCTTTTTGAATAATCCAAATAAGGAAATGAGTGTTGCAGTATGCTGAACATAATTCCTGGTATAAGGATAGATATGTTCAGTGTGTCTCAGTCTATGTGCTGGCAGCAGATACCTGCCAATTTGGAGCCTCTGACAGTCTGCAATAATGATAAAACAAATATGCACACATGTACACACTGACTCAAATGAAGAGAAGCCACAGAAAAGGCATTATAAGGCACAGAAAATGGCTCCCTGCAACAAAAATGTACCCTCACATTGAACTAATTCCCAGACTTAGTATCATTAAAGCATATTTTTGCATATCCTGCTTCTCAAATGCTGGGTTTTGCCAGGCAGCAGGATGGAGGGTGGAACCTGGAGGCCTGACTGCAAGCCCTGTTGATGCAACCATGGTGCACCCACCTGTTGAAATTCTCCTTGCCATTACTTCTCCGCTGAATGACAGTCCAGCCCCCACCATCAGACATGTCACAGTATGCCAGGAAAGGCTCCTGGTCTGCTCTGGGCCTGATCCGGTAATAGCCATTTTGGGTCTTCTTCTGGTTATACACAGCAGCACAATCTAGGCAGAGAGGTATTGATTTGTTAAACAGGGTGGGCAGAAAGCAAAGGGGGACGTGCAGGCAAGAGAAGAGGTTACTGGGAGGCTGCCTGGCACTTGGCCAGCCTGGGTAATACCCTGCAAAGCCAAAGAAAACGGGTCAGTAATGTGCTAGCAATGCTGGTCTGCTGGGCTTGATGTAGAGCAGCAAGGCTTGAAAACCTTTACAGCCATGCCCACTGAAAGAGTCATTCCTAAATCTCTCATGAGACATGGCATGGCTGCAGCTCAGGCTGGGGCTATCACACAGGAGTTATGCAGGACCAGGGCTGGCTCTGTTAGCAAGACTATTGCAGGGAGGCTAATTTCCACTCCTGTAAGTCAGCTGGGTAAAATGAGCTCTTCAAGAGCAAGACCCATCTCCTCCTGAAGCAGATGTCTAATGTAGGTCTGATAGAAAACATCTGAGAGGTATCTGTTCCTCTCTGCACCAGGAGAGAAGCCCAGCTGCAGGTGTCTGTGTTGTGCCTGCCTTTGAGCTGCCTAAAGTTGGGCCAGCTGACTCCAGCCCCAAGGAATGTTTGCTGGTACCAGGGCCATCACTCTGCCCTTCTACTTCCTGTGTATCTGGTTGTGTTTTAAAACACAATCCACTTTAAAAATTCTACAGCTTTTAGCAGAAATAAAATAGTACACATGAGTCTCTGCAGGAAGAATTAAGCATTGTGGCAAGATGAAATTTCCACATATGCTACTGTAAAACATACCTTCTTCATAGACTATCAAATTTCCACTGGTTGTGGGTAAAAGTGTCTCAAGCTGCATGGTCCTGTTGCCTGAGAACAGCCCACTTTTTGTTCTGTGGTAAGAGTTTTCCAGAATGTCCTTCAGTTGCAGTTCATATAAGTAAAGCAAGTCTTTAAGGTGTTTTAACTTCTGTCTTAATTTGTTGTTGTCTAGGAGGCAGAGATCTCTTTCCTATGGAGAAAATAAACAAAAAACCCCAGGCCTCAGTTAGTGGTAAGAGCAGACAGGCAAAGAGAGGAGTATCTGTCTCCTCTTGATCTCAATGTGTCACACTGCCTCTGTGGATCAAGATGATTCAATGGTGGTCCCTCTCCAAGATACCTGAACTGTGCACAGCATGGGCTGTTGAGTTAAACCCAGTGGAGAAGGGTTTTCTACAATGATCTTGCTACTGCTCAGAGCAGCCCAGTGTCAGAGCAAATATGCAGAAAATTACTTTGGAAAAAATAATTAATCTTGACTCCCATTGAATGAAATCAAAGGGAAATGTTTGCAGACTATGAGACTGCTCAGGGTGGTAAGAAGGGGAAAAACTGGCTCTTGCACCACAGCCAGGCCATACCAGTGAGATTTCAAAAACATCTTCTTGTAAAACTGGAAGATGAAAGACCTGCTATTTGGTGCAAATCAGCAGAAAGCAGTGAGCCTACTCGGATCAGCTGAGTAACTTCAGAGCTGCATTACCATAACCAAGACCAGAATCTGCCCCACACTGACTGGGATTGAGTGCTACCAGGTCAGGACCAGTTCTAGGCTTAAGCAAAACAAGCAGTTACCCAGGGCAGCAGGCTGATGAGCGTGCTGAAACATGGCCTCCTAGCTGCCTCTTCCTTCTCGTAGGCCTGCTGGTTTTCCTCCAAAGAGGATTTACAGGCTGGAGGCACACAGAGACCTGCTGCAGGCAGCCCTGAGCTGGCCAAACTCTTCTTGCCAAGCTTAGTACCTCCTTGGCATGGCCCATTTGCTCATAAGAAAAGCACAGATTACCTCAGACTATGCCAAACACCTCTTCCCTTTCCTGCTTTTTAAATAATAATGAAGAAATGAAGGCAGTTTTCCCTAAGGAAATGGACCAGAGTACTTCTTCAGTGGCCATAAAAAACCTTTGTTTTTCTTTTGTTGCTGTTTTTAACTCTTGATAATTTCAGTCCAGCCATCTAGAGCTCTGTCCATCTTCTGATGCCATGAAAACCCTCTATTAGCAAACCTGCAAGAGTGACCTTCCTTTAACTGGAGGCAGACATATCTTTGCTTAGCTCTCGTGGGTCCACATCCCTTTTGTGGGGGAACATCTATCTCTACATGACTGGGAATTATAAACTACTGAGAGGTTGTACAGACACTAGCTAAGAGATACACACCGACAACCTGGGTGCAGGTGAGCTGAAGCTGACCAGGAGAAGAAGCAGCAGCAACCAGGGCATCATCGTGCTCATTTTTTATCACCTGAAAAAGAAACATTAACACGTTGCACTGAAGGTTTCTTTAATTCTTCTCTCAACCACAATCACATTTAATTCCCCAGAAAATGTTAAGGAGTTTGCTTGAAACAAACAGGCAGGACAAAACAAGTGATATTTTTCCCTAAAATGCATGTTAGGGAAAAGTACCAGTGCAGCATGAGGACAATGGAGGCTTGGGTCCAACTTCCTGCTTTCCTATAGAAATGAATACCTGTCGTGACTCTCCAGCAGCATCTGCCCTTTCTTCTGAGTGTCCACACAGACAGGAAGTTACTCAGCAATAACAACTCCTTGGAGCACTCCTTGCCAAGTTGGTTGGTCAAAATCACACAGTCCTTATCAGTCCAAACGCCCCAAAGCTGAGAGGAATTTGCCTCCTGATAGAGTGAGTGTGGGCACTGCCCCTCCTCAGTCCGTGGAGCAGCCTGTCAGGATGGGATTACCTTGGAGACTGAGGGCAGAGGACACACGTGGGACAGAGTGGGCACGGGATAGTCTGTGTTTGGATTTTTGTGGGAGAGGTCTCTGCTGCTGACCTGTCCCAGGGCACAGACGGGGCATCAGCTGCAGAGTCCCAGCTGGAAAAAACGCTCAGTGATCACCAGTGGGAACTTGCAGCTGAACACAGCAAACAGTACATGTTGTTCACAGTGTGCTTGCATGGTGCTTTAAAAAAAAATATCTGAAAAACAGGCTAAAATGAACTCCTCTGCTTCACATCTGGAAGTGCTGCAGAAACTTGGCTCCCCAGCTCCACACCCAGAGCTACGTGCTCTGCTTCAGCTACAGCTCTACCAGCAGTGGCTGATGCTGGGGCTACTTCCAGAGCCGGCAAAGCTGCTGTGACAGGGGACATATCTGCCAAGCCAGGCAGGCAGGGCCCAAAGCAAGGCAAGAAGGGAAACACCCTGTGTGTGTGCAAGTGGGTGCCTCAGCACGTGGCGTTTTCCCAGCTCATAGAGAGGAATGTTCAGCGTTACAGCAGGGGACGCCCCAGCCCGGGACCGCTGGTGCTGTTCTGCCACATGGTCCTGCAGCAGCCGTGCTGAGGTCAGGCCCCATAGCATGTGGGTGGAGGCAAAAATGTAGCAGGAAGGATAAGTTTGAATGATGGATTCTGAAATAGAGACAGTGAAGACCAGAGGAAAATAAAGTAACTTCATCTATGCCTTTATCAACATGTATTAAATGCACATACCTGTAACTTGCCTTTCCTCCAGAGCTTGTTCTGATGAGTTTATCTCCCTTAAAAGTCAACTGCAAAAGAAAGTGATCATAAGCCTGGTTATATATCTAGCTGGTGATGAGCTTTTTCCTCTCCAGATGGCCCACATCAAGGGCGCAGATGAAGAAGGTCTCACAGCACTAGGCAGCTTCACAGAAAAGACACTCACAGTTCCTTGCAGGAAATAGCTACCCAAACCCTGGGTTATCTGTTATTACCCAGTACTCATCCTGCTGCTTCCTGGCAAGGATAAACAACACCAGTGCTCTTCCAAGGAGAGGGGCGCTGCTGGTTGCACACCATTACCCACCTTGTATGACTAGGAAGCTTATCCAAGACTGACTTTAAGTGTTTACATGAATCACTCAGACTACTGCTCCCTGTGGGAGATCTATCTCACGTTTAATACAGCCAGACTCATTTCATTAAGTCCTGCAAGGTGGAACCATCCAGCATTCCTTTTGCTGTAAAAGCACAGCACAGCTGTAACACCAAAGGAGCTGCAAATCTGAAGCAGGAAGCAAACACGGGGCTATTAAGCAAGATTTGCTGTTCAACTGAAATCTCAGGAGGTTTACAGTTGTGTAACTCTCCTCTGAGCTGGATGATTAGATTTGCTAGTTAACACAAACAACAGCATTCGTGGAAGACAGAAAAAAGAACAACCAAACCAAACAGATTGTTGCCTCCCTTTGAGTTATGGCCAAGGAAGCACAGATTATTTTAAAGAAAACAGCAGGAA